GACCTAAAGGTGCAGCTTTGAAACTATCTCTGGATTGTGATGAAAGGGAAACCTGGTTCAGATATATTCTCCTTAGAATAAGTGATCCATAAGGGCATTTGCTAACAAGGTCATTTGCAGAATAGCTGTACAGTGATTTAATATTGGACATCAAGACTTAGAACATAAGTATTCTCAAATCTTCAAGTGCTGACCTCAAACATTTGGTGTATTGTGTCCATAGCATAGGACTGGGAAACTGGGCTTCTCAGCTTGCACTTTGCCTTGCGTCTCAGTGATACACCAAGTTCCATATCTTACATAAAAATTTCTAATTTGGCATCTTTTGACTTCTGTATTTTGAAATTGTTAGTAATAGTTCAATTAAAAACTACATATCTTCACTTATGTGTTTTACATCTTATGAAGAAGAATATACAGAGAAATCCCCATGTAACATGTAATATATTGCTCTGTCAGCTGAATGGACCAGTGTTAGTGCCAATTTTTTTCTGATTTTTCTCTAAAAATGTATTTATGTGCTCAAATCCATTTTTCTTATGCACTCATATCAATTTCATGCCTATGTGAGTTATGTGTCAAAGACAACCATTTGCAAATAAAGTCCAGGCTAGGATGATAATTAATACAATTTTGTACTGTGTTTTAGGTAATAACTTAGAATAATTATAGATTTCATTTAAGCCATTGTTCTCTGATAGCTTTCCATTGGGGATCTCCAAAGCTTGTTACATCATGTTGAGCAATGCCTAGGCCCTCACCTGTGTGTCTAGGCTGAGAGAATGTCCTTTTATGGGGAATGGGCTCCCAAAGTCCATTCATACAAGAGGAATCAATACTGTTCAACTACCAGAGGCCCCATAGATTTCCTAGGCCCCCTAACTGACACCCTCTTTCAGGAGTTCTGGACCAGTCCTATCCTGGTTTGCCAGCTGTCTGTTTGGGGTCCATGAGCTTCCCCTTGTTCAAGTCAACTGTTTCTGTGGGTTTATCCAGTCTGGTCTTGTTCCCTTTGTTCAGCACTCCTCCCTCTCTGCACCTGGATTCCATGAGTTTGACTCAATGTTTAGCTGTGGGTGTCTGCTTCTGTTTCCATCAACTAATGGATGAATGCTCTAGGATGAAATATAAGGTAGCCATCAATCTCATTATCAGGGAAGGGCATTTAAGGTAGCTCCTCTACTGTTGCTCAGAATCTAAGTTGGGGTCATCCTTGTAGATCTCTGAACATTTATTTCCCTAGTGCCAAATTTCTCTTTAAACTGGTAATGACTTCCTTTATTATGTTATCCCCTTTCTTGCTCTCCTGTATTCTTCCCCCAACTCAATATTCCTGCTCCCTCATTTCTTCCTTTCCCCTCCTTTTCTACCCTTCTCTTTCTCCTAACTCCCTTTCCTGTTACTCATACTCCCAGTTTATACAGGAGATCTTGTCTCCTTCCTCTTCTCTGAGGGACCGTGTATGTCTCTGTTAGAACCCTCCTTGTTTCCTAGCTTCTCTGGCAGTCACACTCTATACTTATTTGTGTTCACTGACTGGCCCTTCTACTGGGGAAATCTTAACTGGAAACACATGAGTTCATAGTGACCCCTGATGGGCATACTGGCAAAGTGATGGCAGAATAAACTCTTTATTGAACCTTTCCTGAAATTTATATCCTCGGTGTTAATAAGCTATCCTTTCATTTTCATTCAGTGTTCACAACCTTTTCCAAGGTACTTCTTATATCTACTAACAATATGTCCTTTAGAATTTTTATCTTTTTCTAATTTCTCCAATATTATGTACAAAATGGACCCTTGAAGCCTGAGGGTCAGGTTTATACAGCTCCAATGATGAGCAATATGCTTAATACTTCTTCCATCCATTGATAACCAAAGCATACTCAAGTGCCCAAGAGTATGGTTATATTTTTTCATCTTGACAAAACCATAGACATATCTGAGAAGAGGGAACTTTTGTTAAATAATTCCCTCCATTGGATTGATCTGAGAGTAAGTTTGTACTTCATGAAAGATGGATGTGAAAGGCTCAGTTGACTGTGAGTACTGCCACTACTGGACAGATAGCCTTAGGTTGTAGCCTAGTATCTCAGAATCATTTCCTGCCTACAGGTTTCTGCATTGAATCCCTGCCTTCACTTAACCAATGATTGTTTATAAACTGTAAACTAAATAAAACATATCCTCTACACTTTAATGAGCTATGTATTTGATCCTCATTAAATGAGAAATATGTGACTTCAGAAAATAGAGAATGTTCTGAGGACACTTACAGGTAAAGTGGTGGGGATTAGGTGATGCTAAGTGCCCCTTGTGCAAGTTGATTCAGCTTCATCCTTCCAACCCAAGAAACTCTCCCAGAGCAGTTTATTCCCTTTTACACAGGGGACGTTCCATTTATTCATTTACTCCAGTTTTTATGTGGCATGTAAAAGAATGGGCCTCAGTTAAATTTGGGAGCCCATTTAGCCCCTCTCCCAGTTTTCTGGCATCATTTTCTTCCTTTATAGGTCTCTATCATAAAATTTATGATAGTTTTGATGACACCTCTCAGAATTATTTTCTCATTATTTTTTATAAAATCAAATGAACATGTAGGTGGCACAGAACGGCTACAATTGTGACATATGGAAGCTTTGAATAAACTGCGACTCGACTGGAGGCATGTTGTTTGGATTGCACAAATATTAGTTTTTTATGGAAGTATGTGATTGATGGAACCACAGAAAAAGAGGAAGAGATATCCAGTGCTCAACACCAAGTGCCAAGTCAGAATAGCAAATATTTTTCTCTGGACAATTTCAGGCACACTGACCCCAGGAGGAGATGTCCAAGGTACCTGATGAGGCAATACAGAAAATAGATTCATTAAAAGGAAATGAGTGAAGGGAAGCTATCTAAAGCTTTGTTGTGCATTTAGAAAATTCTTTAAAAAGTGCTGCCCTGAAGCATTTCAAGTTTGGTCTCGTTTAGTATTTTCATAGTTATTTGTGTTTGATATAAATCCATATTTTAATTTTTATTAAGATGATTATAAATGCTCAATTTTTGACAACACTTATTTTTAAAAGAAAGGAAGTTGATATTGTGACTCTCGATTAAGGAATTTCACAAAGTTAAGAACTAATCAAAATGTTAACTTTGCTTAACTAATGTGTTTCAGGTTGGTTAATGGAAAAAAGTGAATGCCACTTGCTCAAAATTTAGACTTGTGGGGTTGTCTTCTCCGGATCTAGTCTGAATCCAATTAGTTCTTTACAGAGATGTGACACATGAATTAGTTCTATGGACTAAGATGAGGTTGCCCACCTAGCACTCTGAGTAATTCTCAGTGGTAAGATATTCAAGATAAAACATTTGATTTTTTAAAATATGGCAGAAGATGAAGGGTCATTTTTGAAGCAATACTTCTGAAATTCTTCTTCAATGGGACAGGTCCACAATTTGATATTTCTGTACCAACCTATAGAGGATGTATGTCTAAAAATATGAATACTTGCCAATAACAACGGTATCATGATGTATGAGGGTATGCTTTATTAAATGCTCAGTTAATCAAATAATTCCCCCATTATGGAAGAAACAACAAAGGATTCCGCATACCCTGCACCAGGACAAGGATATCAGCTGCTGTTCCTTCAGGCAGATGCACTTTCATAAAAGAACTACATTAGATTGTTAATTCTGCTCAAAGCTGTATCTGGACAAGCTTGCACAAATGTCTATTTTCATTGGCATTGCATCAGATGACCAGCAAAGGGACACAGAGTAAACTCAGTGAAAGGACAATGCATGTCCTGACACTGTACTTAAAATGATGTAGCTCAGGATCAGTTATATAATTTATAACTTTACAGAAAGACTTGTAGATGTCAGAATAAACTCACAATTCAAAATGTCTGCTTCTCAGATTATATCAAGTATTTCATGTATAAACATATATTATACATTATATGTCTAATTTAAATAGTTTAATGTATTTAATTGCTCTCCTATATATTAAACCCTGTCTATCATAAACCCATTTATTAAAAGCAAATAAGTAAACAAATGATCAATCAGTAATGATATTATTTGTCCTCTGATCTAGTTTTTGGCATACTGGGTCAAAACAACAATTTTCTGTAAAATTTATTTTAATATTTCTTTGTGTCCAACTTGGCTGACAATTTTCTCTCCCTAACAATATTACTATCATAATATTATACTTCTTATTTTAGAAGGATATGTTAGCTCTTTTTAAAATTTTTCTCTGGGATATGTAATTGTCTAGGCTTTGCCTGTTAACCTGTCATTCTAGTTACCAATAACATAGTTGACACAATGGCAAGGGATAATATAGGTGAAATGGTGGTGTCTAGAGTCCCATTAAGTCTTTGAATTTAAATTTTTAGTGAAATATATTTACTGTCAGCTTCTCTCAGTAATGTTTCACTATCATTTAAATTCTAGTAATCTGGAGATTATTTTCTATATTTTCTTAAGATTTTTTATGTAAAGTAGAAACAAGTTTGCTTCACATGTCAATCTCAGCTCCCTCTCCTTCCCTGGCCCCCTCAAGTCCCCTAGCCCCCCACCCAATCCCTCCTCTGTTCCCAGAGAGGGTGAGGCCCTCCATGGTGGATCTCCAGAGTCTTTATTTGCTGTTTTTAAGGGATGTGTGCTGGAATGTTCATAGAAGTTTCCACTGTTCTTTGTGAGTTCCAATTGCTGATAATCACAATCTCCTCACAGGGAATGACTGCGGCTTCTGTAAATATTGAAAATATACTGGTTCTCTTTACTGCTGAAGATGAAGAGAAACATACTCGTGGTAAATAGAGGACAGTTCACCCTCTAATTCCACAAAACTACAACACATTTGTTCTACATAAACAAATGTCTCTCTGTGAGTTTTGCTAAAAATCCTGTGACACAGGAAAAATGGTTTCATTGTGTGCCTCATGAGGAGGAGCATCTGGGCCATTATAAGCTCTCACTTCTGCTTTCATGGGGGTTTATGTTATGAAAAGTATCACTGTGGGAGGATTCTCATAATGCTGTAAACAGTAGTAAGTTGCAATGTCTTCAGGTTCCAGGCTGCTGATGGTGAGAGTAAAATCTGTCCCAGAACCACTGCCACTAAACCTTGATGGGACCCCATCTGCCAAGTAGGTTGCAGCATAGATAAGGAGCTTAGGAACTTTTCCTGGTTTCTGCTGGAACCAGTTTACATAATTGCTAATACCCTGACTGGCCTGACAAGTGATGGTGATACTGTCTCTCAGAGAAGCAGACAGGGAAGTTTGAGACTGAGTCATCAGGATGTCACATATGGCACCTAGGATTGGAGACATAATAAATATCCAAATAATTAAGCAAGATAAGAAAGGACCTCCCACAATTCCCGGTCAACAATAATAACAGTGTAATAGAGAAATCCCCATCATACTCCTTTTTTTTACCTGGAAACCAGAGCAACAGGAGCCGGAGGAGCTGAGCAGGGGCCTTCATGTCCATTCTGAGTCCTGACTGCATTGACAGGTTGTGACTGGTATATAAAGAAATCCTCAAGACTGGGCATTAAGTGCATGCAAATCATTGGATAGGACTGGGCAAACTGCAAGACTTATTTATCTCACTAACTAAGCAAAAACCCAGTGTCCCCAGATGCCTGAGGCCTGACTACAAATATACCTCCAGATACTGCACATCTATTTTTTAAATTTGAAAGAATAGATGAGCTTTTGGAAGTTATTTTAAAAGTTCTACTCTATTGAAGCTCTATTTGAATAATATGTTTTGTTTCAAAGACACGTTAGTGGTAACCGAAGCAAATATCTGACTGTCAAGGAATAGACAACCAAGAGGAGATTATTAAATCTTAAACTGATTCAAGAATTATTGTGAATTAAAAATGCTATGGCTGAGTTCAAGGCCAGCCTGGTCTGCAGAGTGAGTTCCAGGACAGTCAGAATCTCTCTCTCAAAATGAAATAAAAAGTAATACAATGTGCTATCCCCAAGAAGTGTTTTCATGTTTAGAGAAATCATTGTTTAAATTAAAATAATTTATTAAACCAACTTTAAGGAATTAAAAAGGTAAATTTTAGCAGAATTACCAATGCTTACTACAGTACAAAGAGAGGAAGTATACAGTATTACACATACAGTGCTTTGATCCCAGCAGCCTGTGTTACTTGGATGTCTGACTCCATCCGAAATTGGGGTACGTTCATACCCACAGACTTATATGGGTTGCACCCTTTTCTCCTACTTTAGGATTCTCCATATTTGGCCACTTTTCTGTCATTTTCTTCTATTTCCCAAAACTTCTCTAGAAGGACTGACTAGTAATGAGAGACTTAAAAACTACAACAGAAAACACTGCTATTGTGCACATGTTTCTCCCATATATATTATACACCATATCTTCACTGTTAAGTCTTGAGCAATTAACTGGAAACATCAACCTGATTCAGGGACAGCCTGTCTGCATGTGTGTTTCAGTCTTCCAAAAACATACTGGATTATATTAGATCAGGATTTTAATCATTTCACCTAGTTTTTGCTAGGTGGTAGTTCCAATAACAGCTAATATTCTAATTTGCCTAGCAAATGACAGTGACTCTGTGTTCCAGAGATGTAGACACAATGTATGGGACTGGGTGTATGGAACTTCCCCAATGTATCAGTCAACAGAAATCACAGTGTCATAATTGAATTCCCACTGTAGATTTGGGAATTGAGAGGGAATCATCATGATCTTGCCATGTCCTGACTGGCACTAACTCTAACCCACTATATGACCAGCCAATTAATAAGACTTTTCGGCAGTGGATTGTGCTTTGGACATATGCCAAACAACAGAAGATCAGGAGATCTATGTACCTGCTACTCAACACTGAGCTTAACTCCTGGAATTCAGTTGTAGATATGGAAGAGTGATGAGATAAGGGGTCAAGACCAGGCTGATGAAACTCACAGAAACAGCTGACTTGAACAAGGGCATTGTCATGAACCCCAGACTAATAGCTGGGAAACCAGCATAGGACTGTCCCAGCCCCCCTGAACGTGGGTGTCAGTGAGGAGGTCTGGGCAGTCTATGTAGCCTCTGGTAGTACTTCAGTATTTATCCCTAGCATATTAATGGACTTTCGCAGTCTATTCCCCATTAGGGATACTCTCTCAGCCTATACACATGGGGAGGGCCTAGAAGACAGTTAATCTGCAACTTTTTATTGAACTCAAAGTATATTTTGATAGTTGTACTAATGGATGTTCCAGAAGAAGTTGAAGATACATACTGCTCAGCAGAGTGTACTCTCAAAATTGGTCACTCACAGTTCCACTATGATTCCAAAGTATATCTTTCATAACCAAAGACTAAATGAAACACCTTTATCCCCATGTTCGAAATGACTATCTTGCCCCGTTTTAAAACCCTTGTGCTACTTCTTCCCTCAAATTATGAGTATGAATGGTCAAGAACTGCTATTTGGCATAATTACTTTAATCAAAAACACTGCTTCTCATTACATGACCATGCTTTTCACTAAAATGTAGCATTCTTTGTTTTTATTCAGTGACCAGCAAGTTATCCTGACCATGGCAACAGGTACACTGCATTGCCATAGACAAAGCCTGAGACTCTGTCAAGTGAGTACAGATATGCTTAAGAAAGTATTCAGTCTGATATTATTCGGATAAATAATTAATCATGAATTATTTAACATCTATTTCTTTGCCTTGCATGTACCAGCCATGTTCAATATCAAGGCAAGTGGTGTCACTCTGGACTTAAATACAAATGTCATAGACACTGGAGATTTTTCAGTTTTCATTCTTTCATCAATTGGAGGACAGAAAGTAGTGTTTCAGGCTAGATTTGATAATGCCGATTTTCTAGGGTCCTGGACTTCAATCCTTATGGGCTAAAGATACCCTACCATGAGTAAATTTCTTCCAAATCCCCTTCCATTAATAAGTTGAGAATTATATGCACCAATCCTAAGGCTGGATTAAGAGTGTGTGTGGTATATTAGTCTTTCTCTTTCCCTGTTTTGCTGCTAACTTATTCCCGATCATAACTGTGCCTATGAATCTTACAACATTGTTCTTTCTGCTTACATGACAGCCCACAGAATCTGAAAGGATCATCCGTCACACACTGTTAATAGAAGACAAATGCTTTCATAAGTCAATATTCCACAGATATTTTGTTATTTATACACAATGTCTAGATGAGTGCAGAATTTTAAGTGTCTGATTAAACACATACTGACTTGATTTGCAAAGTATCAGGGAAACTTACTAAAAGCAAAATGATAGTAAAGATGAGAAGGAAATGGCACTGTAAAGCATGAAAGATGGCAGTATTGGAGGGACAATCCTCAAGTGACTAGTTGTACTCAAGAAAACAAGGAGCCAGATTACTAAGAGATATTGAGTGTGTGCTTCGCTGTTTTTTTTAGGAAGAGAAATCTAGTGCACACTGTTGCATTGTGTCAAGAGAAAACAATGCATGTTTTAAAAGTGCTAACATATCCCTCTCAAATAAGTGTAATAGTATGATAGTAATATTGTTAGGGAAAGAAAAATGTCATTACATTTGGACTCAAGGAAATATTAAAATAAATTCCCCAGAAGTGTTCTTTAGTTGAGACACAAGCACAATATCTAGTCTTTCAAAAGCTAGGTTAGAGTATCTGTGATATTATAACTGATTGATTATTTATTAACTTATTTGCCTTTACTAACTTGGTTTTATGGTTCAGACAGTTTATTCTATAAGAGAAAAATTAAGGGCATTTAACTATCTAAATTAGACACATAATATATATTCATACATGAAATATATGCTATACACTGAGAAGATGATATTTTGCATTGTGAGGTTACTGACATCTACAAGTATTTCTCTAAGGCTATATATTATGTAAATGTTCCTGAGATATTTCATTTTAAATATATTGTTATTAGAGGAGATCACATGCCTGGTCATTATTCTGAGTTTCCTGTGTGTCCCTTTCCTGGTCTTTTGATGCAATGCTAATGATGAGAGATATCTATGGATGCATCTCCAGATATAGATTTGAACAGAATGAAGAATCTATTGTGGTTCTTTTATAAAAGTGCAGATGTCTGAAAGAACGGCACCTGGTATCCTTGTACAGGTACAAGGAAATGTGGAATCCCTTGCTGTATCTCATCTTGAGGGCTGATAAGTCTTTCATTATGTGAACATTCCATAAAGCATGCAGCCATGCACCATGATATTATGTTATTTTAAATTAATACATTAAAAAACTGCAAGGATTCATATGTCTTAGACATACATCCTCTAGAATTTGGTATAGAAATGTAAAATCTGTACACCTGACCAAAAGGAGAAGAATTTCATAGGTCCAATGATGGGGGATGTTCTTCTCTACATATATTTCTCTTATTTGTTGATGAATATAACAACAATTGGCCAGTAGCCAGGCAGGATGTATTGATGGGACTACAAGACAAGAGAATCCTGGGGAGAGCCAGTCACAAGGCAGATGCCATGTAGTTGCCGAAGTAGTAACAGGTAAGATGAGACCACATCAAATTTCATAGATTAGTAATTATGGGTTAATAATTAAGAGATAGGTACTCAGTAAGAAGCATGAGCCATAGACAAAACAGTTTAAAATCAATATAAACCTCAGTGTGTTTATTTGAGACTGAAGGGCTATGGGACGAGGCAGAAAAGAAGCTCGGTCTAAAGCCTGGCTACCAAATTGTCCCTTTATCCTTTGGCAGGTTTAAAAATAAAACAAACAACAAAACAACAACAAATACTGCATCTTGAGCAACTTACCACTGGCAACTACTCTGAGTGCTATGTGGGCAACCCACACCTAGTGTATACATGGGATTGATTGATGTGTCACATTACCTAAATGACCCAATTGGATTCAGCCTATATCAGGAAAGGGCAACTCCAGAGGTTTAAATTTTGATCAAGCAGCATTTCATTTGCCCCTTTAACAAGATTAATGTCTTGATTAGGTCTAGACATTGTGAAATTTCTTAATAAAGAGACATAATTTCAAGTGTTGTGATTTTAAAGAAAGACTATGCTGTCCTCATAGCACATCCTCATAAGTCTTTCTTCTGAAAAAAAAAAAGTAGCTTTCAGGCCTCGGAGTCCTGTTATATGTGTTTATGAACTTTACTTAAGAATGTGCTATCTTGGCCAAAATTGGGAACGTTAGGCTTGTGCAAGATTACAGTTTGATTAGATTGAACACTGTTTATCTGTAAGGTAAAAGTGGTAGTGTTAATATTAAACTCTAGCAGATATGATGGACATCTTAATTTAATTTGAGATATCAGTAGAAGTTTCTAAGGGCATGCAGTAATAATTCCTGAGTTTGAATATGTTATTATTTGTACCTTTGGACACCAAGACTTGATATTCTCTTTTTTAGTCTAATAACCTAATTGTAGACTAATTTCTAGTTTTCCTATATATTATTCTTTACTCTAGGAATAATGATAGCTTCCATGATACTTCCTTGTATTTGTTCCTTGTTATCAAGTCTTATCTATCCTCATGCC